TCCTCGTGTAATGAGGGGGAGTACCCAACTGAATCAAAATGAGTTGGTGAAGATAAAGTTAAATAAAATATGCCCAAAATCCCCCATCAAATATTCTAGCATTGTATATAACAGTACTCCATAGATTAATTTTACTCTCTTCTTCCATTGTTTATGTTCCATTTTTCTATTTCCAATTGGCACAAAATGAAGGACATGAAAATAAAAGTGGGAAAGGAATAATAATCGCAACATTAACTCTTGTTCACCTATCTTAAATTTAGTTGTAATTAAAATTCCAACTTCATTGGTTGTAACATTTTAGTTATTTGTGAAAAACACAATTTATATGGTGTAGAGATGTTATCGATGTTCATATTTTTATCAGAGGTGACAAACATCTTACGACATAGGGGGTATTAATTGGGACTACGGCACATTAACTGGGATAACTCAACATTCCACATTTCAAATTCACCGCTGATATATTTTTAATGGAATCTCAGGTGTTAACTAGGGTATTGCATGTCAAAAACTGAAAAATATTTATTCATGAGAATAGGAAGCTGCTTGGGTTAGGATTCCTAATCTTGGCCACCTCAGAAAAATGAGAAGATCTTGTTCATGGATGGTTCTTGTGCAGCAGTGCCGAAGAGTGTTCAATAACCTTCTCTTTCGCTGTCTGTTAACCCAATGCCTCTGAAATGCTGCTCTTACACTTCAGCTCGATCGGATTGTTGGGGGAAATCTATCTATTCTCAGTTATGGACTTGGGATAAGGTGGAGGTGCCTGGGATATGAAAACCGAATCTAGCTTAATGTACAACTATAGCTTAATTATTAGATGAAGAAAGCACCCAACTTCAGTTGAAAAGCATCTCAGCTTGTTTTTTGGCACACGGTTTGCTGACAACGTATTAACTCAAACCTATAGTCTCATTCTTAAAATATTAGGATATCATATTTTCCTAACTTCAGAAGCCAAGATAGAAACTGAAAATTTAAAAGGTAATTGACAAGTCTTTACCTCAGTCCAAATGCTGCATCCTAGATCAGTTGGATAAATGATGCACAATGCATAAGCAATTACTTGTACATATCATAGCCCTATACATATTAATCCACGATAAATAAAACAGTTTTCACTGTCTTAATCGTTCAACCTTCTATTTTTTGCCAGTGAAATACATGTCAAACAGTGTAAGACATATATAAATCTTCCAAAATTCTACCATTTTACCCCCATAGTTCCACTCTTACCATTTCCTTTAACCAAGTGAGATAGGTTTTCTAGGTGAGGTGGATATTTAATCTCCCAGAGCAAAGACAGCATAATACTAATTCTGTCATCTGAATTGTGAAACCTTCTGGTTTTTTTCAACGAAGTAGACCAGTAAGCCTTCATTTCCTCGCTTTTGGGCCTTTTATCAGCGGAAGAGAAATGGATTTGCAAGAAGAAAATATCCATTTCTACTCACATGATAAGAAACAATTATATCTGTTGATTTACCATCACAATGTAATAAATACATTCATAAGCTCATGCATACATAAACCCAACAATGAACATATACTCATGAACTTTAAACACAAAATTCAAAAGCCTCCCAATTCTAAAAACTCATCTCCCTCACTCACAATCCAAATGCTTCAAATAAGTTATTTAAAGAAAACTGTTAACTTCCTCCAAAAGCAATCAAATACCATAAAAGCTGCTCAAACTATAGCCTGGTTTTGTGATACTTACAAAACCCCCCATCATAATCTCCACCAATTAACCTAAACATCCTTAACTTTAAACCTAAAAAACACATTTTTGAAAAACAAAGCTACAAGAACATGGAACATAAAAACGAGCAAGTAGATTTAAGTTGAACTGAAAATACCTTAGCTATCTTAATTTCGTCCTCAAGCTCGTGGAATCTGTTGTTTAATCTCCCGAATTTGTTGATGTTCTGCTGATCTTCCCAGGTTACCTCCGTCTCAGACCCACTTCCCTTCAAGTTCACAGTTCAATATCATTCACCAATCCTCGTAAAATTCAAAATCATACATAAAATTAAAAGGGGAAAAATGAATTGGAGAACTGAGGTTTTATTAGGGTTTTGATTTTCGATTACCTGCTGCATGATGACAAATTTCGGAGGAAGGACGGAGATTGGAAGTCAGTCTCGAGCATAACGGGAAAATCCATGGAATCTATTGGACCTCTTATTAAGTATGAACCCTGGGCTGGGCTTATACTTGTTTCAGGCCCATAATCATTATATTATCAAGAATATATATATATATATATATATTAGGAATTAACTTTTTTAAAAAAAATTATATTATCAAGAATATATAAATATATATTGGTTTAAATATGAAAATATAAATATAAATTAGGAATTAAATTTTTTTAAAAATTTTATATTATGAAGAATATAATTATTGAGCATATATAATTATTATATTTTCTACATTTGTTAAAGAATTAGTTAACACAAAAAAAAAAAAATTATACAATTTTATCCTTAAATAAATTTATATTATATACTTTTAATTATATAATTTCTATTTTTATTGTAAGGAAATCCACAAAATTGAAGCAATTTAAAGTATATAATTTTATAATAATATTGCATTTTGAAAAAAAAAATTGTTATTTGGTGCAATTAATTGCATACATTGCAGATCAAATTAGGGATAAAGAACATTGCAATTTATGTTAATTCTCCTATTTGTCCCATATTTTAGGTTTACTTTTTATTTTTTAAAGAAAAATGTTTCTTCATAGGAACGTCCACGAATCTGATCAATTACTCTTCGTGCTTTATGGGCAGACATGCGTATATGTTGACCTAAAGCGTATACTTTTGTATCTGATTTCTTCTTTCTTTTACTTATCATAAGGTTCACCTCTCACTAATGAATCTATATTTCTTTTAATTTCTTTTATTAACGACGAGATTTATTATCATTTTTTGCATGTCCGCGGAATTTTATAGTAGGTGCAAATTCTCCCAATTTGTGTCCCACCATACGATCTGTTATATAAACAGGCAAGTGTTCCCTTCCATTATGGATAGCGATAGTATGTCCGATCATTGTGGGTATAATGGTCGATGCCCGGGACCAAGTTATTGGCGTAATAAACTACGCAATACGTTAAATTTACAACCGAGTATAATGCTTAATTTAAAGTAAAATTAATGACTTAATTTATTAATATAAGCTACGGTTATTAGATTAGATTCTATTACAATTAGTCATGATATATTTGGAAGAAATTAATATTTCGTGACGGCAACTAGTTCGTTTAATGAAAGGAGACATAATAGAATAAAAATCTAAATCTATATTTTGACTCTTATTTAAAATAAGACTAACATATATTACGTTTTACGTATAAAAAAAAATAACTAAAATGATCGTAGACCGTAGTGTATAATCTAAAGTAGAATTAATGACTTAATTTATTACAATGAGTCATGATATATTCGAGAGAAAATAATATTACGTGACAGAAAGTAATTCCCTTAATTAGAGGAAACAGAATATAATAAAAATCTAAATCTAATTTTGACTCTTATTTGGAACAAGATTAATATACATTATGTTTTACATAAAAAAAAATAACTAAAATGATCATAAATAGTAGGCTACAATTAAAATACTAAGAACACTTTCATGGGAGTGATTCTGAGGCGGGTTATGGTGCAATCTTAAGGGATTCGTTTAGAAATGTGCTCAAAACTATATTTAGGAGGTTATCGAACTGCTGTTCAACGTTTCTAACTGAACTGATGGGTTATCGAAATGTGCTGTTTTATATTGATATTCATTTTATCAGATCAAGTATTGTAAAATTGGACGCATAAACTATTAAAAATGTCATTACTACTAAAGAACCGGATGAATATGAGTACAGATTTATTGTATAAAACTGTAAAAAGTTATCAGAATGAAGATCAAAAATTTCTGTCACCTGGATCAGTTGAAAGGGTAATGTTGTGGCTCACCGTGTTGCCAGGGATGCATATTTATTTTCAAGTTGTCACATTTGAGAGATGTTACCTCTCGAATACTGTAAATTATTTTAAATTGTATTTTTAGATTTACGTTAACGAAGTTTTCATTCAAAAAAAAAAAAAAAGCTTTCAAGTACTCTAATTGTTAGTAAATGCTCCCGTGAATGTTGAATATCTAAATTTTTTTATATTCGAAAGAGTATCATAAAGTAATCTTAAATACTCAAAATACTTAGAAATATTTTTAAGTATCTAAAAATTATCTAACAATTATTCGATATCCAAAAGTATTTTTAAACTCTTTAGTATTCGAGAGTATTTCTAAAATTCTTAAATATGTGAAGATATTTAAGGATTTTTTAGATACTTAAAAAGTATTATAAAATTTTGAGATATTCCGAGATTTTTTATTCTTCTTTTTAAGAAAAATAACGTAAATATGATTACATGCATAATTATATATTTTTGCCATCAAATACGCTTTCACGTTAAATAAATATTTACATTGATATATTTAAACATGAACATGTAATTAATAATTAATTCTTTTATAAGATTAATTACACTTCGTTATATTACAAAAATTTTAAAGTCAACCAAATATCTATACGTAATAATATATTGATAGATAAGTAAATTTATTTCATATATATTAGTTTTCTAAATTATTTTTATATCTTATTATACAAATAGAAGTTAAAACTCACTATTTTTTTGGTCTAAGTACTTTGGGCATAACCAAAAAAATTTTATATGAATATCCTCTAAAAACCACAAATATAAATTGTTTGGAAATTTGCAAACTAATTTTATTTGCATTTTAAGTTGTGTTTTAAATACATAAATTTCATTTAAAAATTCAAATTTATTTTAATATAAAGCTATAAAATTTCAAACACTTTTTTATTTTAATTTAAATTAATAAAAAAATTCAAAATACATTTTATTTCAATTTCACTTAAAAACACTTGGAAAAAAAATATAATTTAATACCCATGAGAGAATTAATGGAGAAAAATTATTTCAACAAACTGAAAATTCTATATAAATTTTTAATATAAATTTCATTTAAAAATTCAAACTTATTTTAATCACAAAAATATATAGATTTTCAAAAAAAAAAAAACTTTTTTATTTTTAATAAAATTCAAAACATATTTTTTTTAAAAAAAAATTTAAAAAAAAAATTCACTTAATATTTGAAGAGAGAAATTTTAAAACACTTTATCAAACCAAAATAATTCATCAAACATGCATTGCATACCATAAGAGAATTAATGGAGAAAAATTATTTGAATAAACTGAAAAACCCTACAGGTAACAAATGATAAATATAAGTTCATCTATAGTCAAATGAAATCCCAAAACCATAAACATCCAATGGCACCAGAGGCCAACTATGGTGATCCATAGAAAAGAAAAAAGACTGTTTCTACTCTGCTTTGCTGTTGGAAGGAGATTCGACTTTCCTACAGTATGAAAGAACCATCACAAAATCCTTTCCGGACGAACCCACTTGGACAGGTACCCTCTTCGATGCTGATGCAGTTCGGGACCACAGATCAACCAAGCTATCCAATGTCTGGTCTGGCGTCACAGGCTGACCACGACACATTAACTCAACCTATGGAAAACACGAACACAGAAATTGTTAGGAGATTGTCTGTTCTTTCATGGGCAGACAAGAATGCAATGCATTGTTAAGTCGAAAATTCTTTAGGCATTGTGAAGACCGGAGTTGGTAGTTCGTGTCTGGGTCAACAAAAGAGTATCTTCAAGTCCAAGAAAAGGGAAAGTCCGGAAATATAACTGGGAAGTTGGGGAAGAAAAAGGTCGATACAATAAGGGGACTCGATCATTGATAAAATAATAATGAAGTGGGTCAAGATGGAGAGGGAGCAGTAAGGTAAGATTTCGGTATGCCAAGAACTATTATGAGAAAGGTTACTTGGGTCTGAAAGAGATGCATTATAATGACCTAAAACAACAAGCTAAGCACGTTCAGTAGCCTTTGCTTTCAACGAGATGATTTGCCAAAGAGCAAGGCATGAATAACATTGTCAAGAAAACAATAAAGGTGAACTTACCTCTGATTCGCTGGCAAGATTAAGTTTCTTTGCAAGGTATTTTTGGATATATGAGGCCGGGATTTTACCATCCCTGTCACATAAAAATGAGAAACCAATGAATATGACAAGTAGAGTTGATGAACATTTAAACATGGAAACAAATATGAATCTGAAGAGAAATATTTAGTGAAAACAGAACTATTTTCATATGCTGCAAAAATCATCCTGAAAGATACAAAAAGCCTGGGTCAGAGGAAAATGGATCCAACATCAAATTCAAACTTTTTCTTATCGTGAGCTATATCATTAAAAGAATTCACCAATGAGATCTTTGGTTTTAAGAGAAGCAGTTTTCCTTTGGGAAATTTAATTCGGAACTGAAATATAGTCAACATTAAATATTCAACCTTGTGTTACCTTGATTACGTAGATACTCATGCAACGAAGAAGCAATTACGTAGATACTCATGCAACAGAGAAGAAATTACTTAGATACTCATGCAACGAACAAAGGATCAATTACGTAGATGCTCATGCAACGAAGGATCAATTACGTAGATACTCATGCAACAAAGGATCGGTTACGTAGATACTCATGCAACAAAGAATCAAAATTTCCAATATAGGAAGTGAGGTCACAACCACGTCAGTAAACAACTGCATTACCAAGCCCCTTGATCAATTGTCAAAATTGATTCTTACCATGCATGATTAATGCCAAGACTTGACGACACATAATATAGGTTTTCGTATTATCGTCATTTTCGAAGTAAAAAAGGCAGGAGAGAACTTTATTTTCAGTTATATGGCTTTGCAACTCGATCTTCAGTACATGTTAGAAGAACCTAAGAAATGAATCATATCTATCATCCAGCATCAGGCACCATAAAATACAAGATAGTCAAGGAAACATCAAGACTAGTTGGCTTCTCAAAAATTTACATGCATATATGCATGATCAGGCATCAAATAAACAATGAACTTGACGAAATAATAGAACACATAAGCAGGT